CATTCCTTTCCTGACCTTTGTTCCTGCTGGAACTTTGCTCAGAGAAGACCCAGCCTTCTCTGGTCTGTGCTGGCGCCAGGTGAAGGTCTTATCAGGTTTCCTTGCTGTATCCACAAAGTAGGGGTTTCAGCGGCATTAGCGCTAGGTGCCATGGGGGTGGGGCGAGGGTCCTTTTCCTTATCTACTGCTGACTCCTTCACTTATACCCTATAGGGTCCCCCAGGTCCTGCCAGCAGTGAGCCCTCAGTGCAAGGTTAGGAGTGATCTCTAAGTACTGCCGGGTATAGCCCTCAAACATAAAACTGAAAATAAAAAAGTAAAAGTAAGAACCATCAATTATCAATTGCTGTTAATCACATAAAACAAAGCATTAAGAACAGTAGGGGTAACTACTAATGGGATTAATTATAAAAGGCAGGATTATTAACCTTTTAAACTAGTGGTGAGAAAAATGAAGTCTGATGGAATGTCCACACCACTACCTCTCCAGAACCAGGGCTTAATATAAGAGTAAGACTTCGAGGGTCTTACACTGTTATCAGAGGACTGAAAATATTCAGAGAGCAAATAAAGCACACTTAGGCCATGATAGTCACTACATACTAATGTGAGGAACATAAGGACAAAAATGAATATACCAAATAGCGTGAAAATGCAAGTGAACATTTTTTAGATGTGAGAAATTAAAGGGAGTTTTAACAATACTTAATTTTTTAATTGAATCACTGTGAGCTACAGTTACAAAAATTTCAAGTTTGCATTTCAATCGTACAATGATCAAACACCTGTCCCTCCACCAGTGTACATTTTCTTCCATCAGTGTCCCCTGTACCCTCCCCCCCCACCCCGCGCACGCGCGCACACACACACACACACACACACACACACAACACACATTACCCTTGCCCCTGCCCTGGTCCCACACTTCCCCTACCTCTATGGCAGACAATTCCCTCTTACTCTTTCTCTATTTATGGACATTATGGTTTGCAGTACAGATAGGGAGAGTCCATCATGTTGTCCTTTATCTACTTTCAGCACACATCTCTCATCCTGAGTGATTCCTCCAACCATCGTTGACTTAGTGGTCCCTTCTCTATTCCAGCTGCCTTCTCCCCCAGCTCACAAGTAGGCTTCCAACCTGGAGCAGTCTTACTGTCCTAGGGTGTTAGTCTCATATTATATTTTATATTACACAAATGAGTGCAATCATTCTGTGTCTCCTCTTTCTGACTCATTTCACTTAGCATGATACTCTCCATGACCATCCACTTATAAGCAAATTTCATGACTTTGTCTTTCCTAACAGCTGCATAGTATTCCATTGTGTAGATGTACCAAAGTTTTTTTAATCAGTCATCTGTTCTCGGGCACTCGGGTTGTTTCCAGATTCTGGCTATTGTGAACAGTGCTGCAATGAGTGTACAGGTGCAGATGCCATTTCTAAAACTTCCTTGTTGATCATGTAAACAAAAAAAGGATTTGAAAAAACTTATTTGTAAAGTGTAATATATGCAAGGACAGTAGTTATAAATCTCATTTCCTTCAAGATTTTACTAATGAGATAAAATATTACTCAACTTTTAAAGTTAGGATACATAGGCACAGGCTGGAGAGATAGTATAGTGGGTAGGGTGCTCACCTTGTACACAGTTGACTCAGGGTTGATCGCCAGCATCCCACATGGTACCCTGAGCACCACCAGGAGTAATTCCTGAGTGCGGAGCCAGAAGTAAGCCCTGAGCATCACTGGGTGTGTTCTCAAAATAAAAAATGAAATAAATAAAACGTCTTTTAACAAAAAGATATATAGGCAACTAAGTGACTCATTCTAGAGAAATGTAGTTATCATTCAGCTTTAGAATGCCTTAAATAAAGTAAACATCTCTTTCTGGACTATGGATATTGAGCCCAGAGCCAGGAGTAAGCCCTAAGCACTAGCAGTTGTAACTCCAAAACCAAAACCAAACAAAAAAAGTAAAGTTGGATTTTCACTTTAACCCAAACCACACATATGCAAATGCATTTTTTTCAAGAAAAGATTAATTTCAAAGTTTAGCATTGTCCAGGGAGCTAGGTCCAAGGGCTGATGCACAAGCTTTGTACAAAATGCCCATGTTCAGTCTCTGACATTACACAGTTTCCTGAGCATAAAGTTGAGAGTATCCTCTGAGCACTGAAGGGTGTATACCCAAAACAAAAAAAACGTTTCTTTCCTTTTGTTCAAGTGTGGGGTATCATTTTAACTAGATTAAGGTAACATCACAAGTATCTGTTAGTAACATTCTAATTTATTACTAAAGGAGGTGTCCATGCAGTTTTCTTCTTGATCTATGCATTAGTTACAGATATTCTTTTGCTTATATAAAATATAATAAAATTTTAAAGCTTGACTATAAAATAGACTTAATTGGGGGGATACCTTTAGAGTTATGCAACTGAAAGTATAGTTCAGAGACCTCTCCTATATCCCATTTCCCCTATTAACACCTTGCATTAATATAGTATACACAATATAAAGTAACCTGGTGAAATATTTTATTATTTTAAATATTTTAATGAATCACTGGGGTGGAGCAATAGTACAGCAGGTAGGGCGTTTGCCTTGCACGTGGCCGACCCGGGTTTGATTCTTCCACCCCTCTCGGAGAGTCCGGCAAGCTACCGAGAGTATCCCGCCCTCATGGCAAAGCCTGGCAAGCTACCCATGACGTATTTGATATGTCAAAAACAGTAACAACAAATCTCACAATGGAGATGTTACTGGTGGCTGCCCGAGCAAATAAATGAACAACAGGAGGACAGTGCTACAGTGCAGTGCTAATGAATCACTGTGAGGTACAGTTACAGATTTACAGACTTTCATGCTTAATTTTCAGTCATACAATGATCAAGTACCCATTTCTCCAACCTTTAGTTTTTAATATTTACTTAAAAGCTGAAAGTGTGAATAAAGAAAAAACTGATTACACAAATTTAAAATCACAATTTTCAAATTAAACAAGACTCTTTGAAATGAATTTAGAAACATTTATATTAAACTTATTAGGCATAGAGTTATTTATTTCACACAACCGTCCAAACAAATATTAGTTTCATGCACAAAGAAAGTACTTCACACAAGTGCTGTTGTGTTTATTCCACACACCAGCCCAATGTGAAGTAAATAGTAAAACTTATTCTTTTGTAGGATCAACTGAGCTTTTAGGAAATTAGCTTATTAAAAGTTCCCTACTATGGAGTAATGAACTTCATTCCTTGAGTGCTTTGTTTTCAGAGAAAGAGCATGTAGGGCATAGCATGCTTTCCCTTGAAAGCAGCCGACCTGGGTTCAATCCTCGGCACTCCTGAACTCCCCCAAGAGAAACAAGGAGTCTCTTTCTCTCCCTTTGACTCATTTCACTTGGCATGATACTCTTCATATCCGTCCACATATAAGCAATTTCATGACTTCATTTTTCCTGTTGGTGTAGAATTCCATTGTGTAAATGAGCCATAGTTCATTCTCTCATCTGTTTCTCGAGCATTTGCCAATATAGAATATGGATAGGCAACACTAAGTTGATTTTAGATATTGATACCTAACACGGAACTGAATTTTAACTACAGAGAAGTATATCAATGTAGACTCATATTCAAGAAATGTTAAATATGAGATAAAAAATGGAAGAAATTTTCCACTTCCCCATCCTCAACACCGCCAATCATATGGGCTTTCAAGATCATATCATACTTGTTGGTGTTACTAGTGTTATTCACTTCTTCTGCTTTGTATTTAATAGTACAGTCTTTTTGATTTTATTTTTGTGTATTTTTGTTTGGGGGCCACACCCAGAAGTGCTCAGAGCTTAGCACTGTAGCACTGTCCTCCCTGTTGTTCGTCAATTTGCTTGAGCGGGCACCAGTAGCGTCTCCATTGTGAGGCTTATTGTTACTGTTTTTGACATATTGAACATGCCACGGAGAGCTTGCCAGACTCTGCCGTGCCAGCGGAACACTCTCGTTAGCTTGCCAGGCTCTCTGAGAGGGTTGGAGGAATGGAACCTGGGTCGGCTGCGTGCAAGGCAAACACCCTACCTGCTGTGGTATCATTCCAGCCCGCTCAGAGCTTAACCCTGGTTTTATGCTCAAGCGTAAAGTTCATTCCTTCAGACTTTTAGTAAGGGGACTTTTAATAAGTTAATTGCCTAGACAGTTAATCCTCTAAAAGAATTAAAATTTTACTATTTACTTCACACTGGACTGTTGTGTGGAATAAACGACTCAATTTGTGTGAAGAACTTTCTTCGTGCATGGAACTAATATTTATACAATGAAATTAACCCGTAAGTCCAATTAAATGACTCACATGCCTGATGACAATCTTTGTCTTTTCTCCCCTTCACTGCCCCTTGCTGTAGTTATCCCCAAGGAGGACCATACACCTCTGCCTGGCTGTGGTGCAGGCACATTTTGGTGTGGTCTTTGCATATCGGGGTACTCCATTGGATATCGTACTTGTTGGTGTTACTAGTGTTATTCACAAACAAGGGTGTGCTTGTTTGTACTGTGGTATACACTTGACTGCATACTCAGTAGCGGTGCTCTCCAGAAAGCAGAGTCAGTGACAGTGAGGAAAAGTTTGGGGGAGCAGAGTCACTGCTGTCTCTCTGTTCACTTGGATGTCACCTTACTTGGGACACCAGTCTTGCATTTTGCCAGGAGGTGCACTGACCACTGAGCCATGACCTCTCCCCACCCCACTGTGCTCCCCAGGCTTGGTAATTGAGGCCCTTCAAAGGCTTTGATGTAGACACCAGCTCTACTAGATCAGCACAATGACATGCATTTCTTATATCAGCTAGAAGTCTGAAATATTGTCACCTCTCTTTAGTCCAAGCTGGGAGATGGCGCAAGTGCTAGGTGACTGGCCCCTCCCACTTCCACAGATTGGTAAATGAGGACAGGGTGGGGAGGGCTCAGGGGCTGGAAAAGAGTCAGGGAGGGAACTACCTGAGCTGGAGAGGTGAGGAGGGCAAGCCCAAAGAGCAGAAGCTCAAGGTGCTACCGGAGTCTACCATGGCTGGAAGCAAGGAACTATTGGTGCTGGAAAACTTCATAGATGGAAAATTTTTCCCTTGCAGCTCCTACATAGATTCTTATGATCCATCGACAGGGAACGTGTACTGCAGAGTACCAGATAGTGGAAAAGAAGAGGTGAGTGAGTTTACCTAGAGACAATGCAAATATGCCTAAGAGGTTGGTGTGTCATCTTCGTTAATAGCTATATAATTAAACTACACATTAGCTAATTTAACTGAATTCTCTTTAATCAAATCTTTAACTTTCTGGAAACAAATGGGGTTGGAAGAAAACAAAGGAGAGCCCATTAATCATTAGTGGAAGAGAATGACTAATTTTAGAAATGGTCAGTGTAAAGGGACCAGCATCAATCTTCAGTGACTTTTGCCTGCAGAATAAAGCAGAGAAGCCTGAAGCTTCTATCTGGCTATCCTCCGGAGGTGTCTTGTAAACAGCGCTGCTTGGGAGAATGATTGGGATTTTTAAGGTGGGAGAAAATCTCCTCTTTATCTGTGAATTGTTGCTTGAATCTCCAATATGTATGCTTTTTTTTTTAAAGAAAATGTGTCACTTTGCAAAAATAAAAAATGTGTTACTTTGCTGATATCAACAAAATTGGAAAACTCCAGGATTTATCTATTATCCTCTAATATCCTCAACTATTATCCTCTAATAGTTCCTCATGTCCTCAACACACCAATAAAGCAAAGTCAACCATTTAAATGATGAAACTCAAAATCCAATTCCCAGGTACTTTTGGAGTTGAAACTGACACTGTCTTACTCAAAATTCTTCATGTCACTTACATTTTTTCTAGGGTTGTAGAAATAAAGGTATTTGAAGGATTTTTATGAACATGTGAGATTTATTTGATTGCTTTTTAATAATTACACCAAGAAGCTATATTTTTAACGATGGATGTGGCTGATGTATGTAGTTCAGCATTTCTCAACTGGGGGCCACATGGCCCCCAGAGGAACTCCCAGGATGTTTCAAGGTGCCACAGGTGAAAAACCCATGTAAAAAGAAGGTCACAGCAGAAGATTTAGGGCCAATCTAGGTAGAACAGAAAGGCTTAGGAAGGGTAGGAAACAAGGTCACAAGGGGTCATGTTTGGAAAATGATTGTGAAACACTAATTCCTGTGGGCTTTAATTTGTTCGAGCTCAAAGAACTAGATAATTTTAAAGAGTAATTATGGGGTTTTTATATATAAATAATTATGTACAATTTTTTAAAAAATAGAACGAATTCTTCTTTAATGATATTTCCATCTGAATCATATTAACAAAAACCCTTCAGACTTAGTACTAAAGTCCATAGGTATTGGCTAATCTGCAGATTACACAGTAACATGTTTTGTTTGCTTCAAATGACACAGAAGAGCTGTGACCTGGCTGCATAATCTCCAATCTTCCTTGTCTCAGAATGTTTTCCAAAATGAGTTTAATATGAAGATACACTGACTGCTGCAGAAATACTTTCTGCACCTCAAACATCCTCAGGAAAATAGAAACAGACACATTCACCTTCCTGGACAGTCAGAGACATTTGGGAACCCCGGGTGGTCCAGTTTGCAAATACTCTCTAACCCACTGAACCTCAGGTTTTCTTCAGCTTGAAAAATACATTCATCATCAAAAGGGCACCATAGCACATACTATCAGCAGCCACTTCCTCTCATCCAGCTTTTGTCATATGCTTTTGCTTTCACAAAGCTCTTTAACAGGAGCTGTCCAAATATGAATTATATTATTTCACCAAGAATTGGGTTTTAATTTTGTGATGCTTAGATACTTAGATCAATGGTCTCTTTCTACTTGTTTATCTAACACAATCTCTTGCACACATTAGTTATTGTCTTAATCATGTATTAACTAACATTAATAATTATACTTGATTAATATTAATTTATATTAACATATTAATATTAATTAATATTAACTGATTTATAGCAATTATAAATACACATGTACACACTTCCTACATGTGGAGACATTTGGATTATGTCACTGCAGTCACAATCACAGACTGATCAAATGGTTTGGCTTCAAAAAAAAAATGAGTTGTATCACTTAATATTTGTGACCTACCTTTGTGGCAAGGTGGCACTTGGGGGCATTTGGGACTACATGCAGCACTTCTCGGGGCTATTCCTGGCTCTGTGCTCAGGAATGGCATATGTTGGTGCTGGAATTGAGCGGGGTTAGGTGCATGCAAGGTGAATGTCTTAACTCCCGTATTATCTCTCTGGACCTATGTGCTGAATCTCAGTGTACCTCTTTCTTCTCATGTATAAAACTGGTATAATAAAACCACCTATTTTTATAATATTGTGCCTAGAAGGTAGTATATATATGTACTCTATTTTACTTGGATATAAAGCTTGAGTCAAAAGATGCCACAACTTGAATTATATAGAAATTCAGAAACTATGACTCAATTTGAGCTTTCTGCTCACAAGAAGACAAGATTTCTCTGTTGACTCTTCATACTCAAGGGCTGCACATCACCCCCATGCCCCAGCATTTGGTGAAGACCGTCACCTACAAAGTCCACCTCTTCTCCTTTATCATGTCTATAGGTCACATTAAAAAGGTAAAGGCCCTCCCGTTGTTCATCGATTTGCTAGAGCGGGCCCAGTAATGTCTCCATTGGAGACTTTGTTGTTACTGTGTCTGGCATATCGAATACTCGGTAGCTTGCTGGGCTCTCCGAGAGGGGCGGAGGAATCGAACTCGGGTCGGCCATGTTGGCTGCGTGCAAGGCAAACGCCCTACCGCTGTGCTATCGCTCCAGCCCTTATAGGTCACATTAGGGGCTCAGTTTTGAGGTGAAAACGCCATCTCTCCATAAATTTACGGGGAGCTGTTTGGGCCACACTTGTCAGTGCTTAGGGATTACTCCTGGTTCTGTGCTCAGGAGTCTTTCTCAGTAGTGCTCAGGGACCATATATTGTTAGGGATTGGACCGGGGCCACTTGCATGCAAGATCCAGTTCTTTGAACTATCTCTCTGGCCTTCAGGCATTTATGAGTAAGACAAGATTTTTTTTTTCTAATTTTATGAGCACTGCTGAAGGTGATGCAGTGTGCATAAAAAAAAAGGAGAGAGAACTGTAGGTCATATTTTGGGTGAAATGATTAGCATAGACATGGGTGGCTGAGTCAGACCAAGGTGATTTTAGAAAGGAGCTTATATTGTGGAAAGTCTTTGAGAATGGGTTGTAAGAGTAAGCCAGGACGTGGTGTCAGAGAGGGTTGTAAGTGATTTATACATGTTAATCATTCAGATGAGTGGGGAGAGGAAGGGAAGAAGCTATGGGTTTGCTTAAATTAGAGATTTCCCACAAGAAAAAAAAGGGAGCGAACGGCCTGAGAATTCATTTGCCTGCATGAATTGACCTTGCCAACATAGTTTTAGATTTAGCTGCCAAACCAGTTCCCTCACTATGTGTTTAGGCATGATGATCTTAGGTTATGCCATAGCAGGCTGACAGGTGGTTTTGAGGTGCATCCTTTGCATACACAAGACCCTGAGTTCAACTGCCAGCATTTCAAAACAAAAAATTCTGTGTGATCTCTGGGAAATTACATGAGCTCTCTGTGCTTCAGTTTCCTCATCTGTGAAGTAACACAACAACGCTCACATTATACAATTTTTAAAAATGTGTTAATTAAATCATCTACGTGAACTATTTAGCAGTAATCAATAGATGACATAATGAATCATGCCAAGTGGAGAGGAGTTTCCAATGATGCAATTTCAAACAAAATTTGACCCTTGAACTTTTTTTTTTTTTAGAGAAATCAGAGCTTAAAATGCTTTTGAACTTTAAACCTTTTAGAACTTTTTACTCTAAAGCTTTCAGAACTTTTCACTCTAAAGGTATAAAAGCTTTAGGACTTTTGTAACTTTTTTTTTAGGAATGCTTATTGAGACACAGTGATTACAAAGTTGTTCTTAATAGAGTTGTTTCAGGCATACGATGTTCTAACATCAATCCCACCATCAGTGTCCTTTTCACCCCACTAATGTCCCCTGGTCCCACCCTACCCGCCAGCCTGCCCTGATGGTAGGCATATAACACATCTATTTCATATTACTTGTTATTATACAAGTTAAAGAAATGGTAAATAGAATTATTGGAAAGTAAATAGTAAAAGTCAATTTTTGATGATTAAGTGCTATATGTTTTTAACCGTTCTTAGGTTAAGTGACACATGATGGGAAGTTTCTCGTGTCCTTTAAAGGAGCTCTTTTAGTGCTTCTTGCAAAACTGGTTTCAGGGCGATGAATTTCCTAAGCTGTTGCCTGTCCATGAAACTCCATATCATTCCTATAAATATGAATGATAATATAGCTAGTTAGAGTATTCATAGTGGGGTGCTCTTTCCTTGAGTTTTTGTACTCTGTCCTTCCATATTTTTCTAGCCCATTTGATGTATCTGCTGAACATCCTATGGGCTTTCCTTTTTTGATTTTGCTGCATTAAAAATTCTATCTCCCTCTATGGATTTAGTCATTTTAAGACCACTGTGTCCTGAAGTTTTTCTGAGTGAGTGTATTTTTACTGAGACCCTTTAGGCCTCATGAATCTCAGTGCCTATAATTCTCAACAATGAAAGGTTATTATCAATGATTTCTTTAATTCTTGTCTCTTTATCACCTTTACCTTGCTGTTTTTTAGGGACTTTGATGATTCTTATATTGGTGCTCTTGAACGCATCCCATAGTTCTTTGGTATGCTGTTCATTTCTTTTCAGTTCATTTTCTACTTTCTGCTGTTTCCCAGCAGTTTTCTCCTTCTCATCTTGATGTTCCTCAAAGTTTTGCTTAGTTTCTATTCTGCTGTTTAGAGCTTCTGTTGACTTTTTTCTATATACACATGTATATATAGAAAATATATATGTCTCACCTACCATGGTTTTCATTTTGGTCATTTCTGACCGTGCTAGTCTTTTTTTTTCATTTTGACTCTCACACTTTCTGTGCTTTGCTGACTACCTGTGCTATCATTTCCTTGAACTTATTGAATATCCTCATCATAGTTTCATAAGAGAAATTTCTGGTGCTGTTTATGTCTTCAGTGATATTGTTTTCACCCATGGAGGTTGGTGGGTTTCCGCCATTGATATTCTAGAGTTCTTGCTGTGCAGAGGGTGAGATTTTTATAGTTAATTCTCCTGGAAGAGACTGAAGGATTAACATGGAGATTACCTGTGATCTTCCTGCTCATCCTCATGGAATTGCAGGAAGGACAACTCTGAATAGCATGTTATTGTTGAGCCATTCTGCTGAGCGGCTGTATAAGTGGTTGTGTGCTTCAGGAGCTGTGCTGTGGGCCCTTAACATGGTGCAGGTCAGGTGTGGAGGCTGTTGGGACCCACCCATGAGGAATGGGTTCTGCCTCTCATTAAAAATAGGCCCAGTGATATTAGCTGGAAGTGGTACCGCAGCAAGCAGAAGGTCCTATAGTTTCTACACATCTTGACTAAGTTTTCCCTTTGATGTAATCATCAAAAATAATCTATATTTAGGGACCAAAGTGGGCTGGAGCGATAGCACAGCGGTAGGGTGTTTGCCTTGCACACGGCTGACTCTACTGACTCAGGTTCGTAGTGCGGGAGGGATACTCTTGGTAGAATGCCAGGCTCTTCGAGAGGGGCGGAGGAATTGAACCAGAGTTGCCCCTCTCGGGAGCCCAGCAAGCTACCGAGAGTATCCCACCCACACGGCAGAGCCTGGCAAGCTACCCATGACGTATCCAATATTATGCCAAACACAGTAACAACAAGTCTCACAATGGAGATGTTACTGGGCCTGCTCGTGCAAATCGATGAACAACGGGGGGACAGTGCTACAGTGCTACAGTGCTACAGGGACCAAAGAGGTAGTCCAGAAAATAGGACACTTGCCTTCTACACAGACCATGCATGATCCCTGAGCAAAGAGCCAGGAAGAAGAAAGCCCTGAGCATCATTGAGTATGACATACCTCCAACACACACACAAACCTATATTTTGAAATGGTAAAAATACATACTTGTTAGATATAGTTTCTTTTTGATAATGTAGCTATTATATTTTGCATACCTTGGGGGAAAGGGAGCATTTTTCCCTTGGTCTATGAGATGTTCTGATTTATCAATCACATGACCATTGCTTTGCAGGGACTCCGATTTGAGAACTATGAAGTTTTGAAATTAGAAAAGAAATAATATTTCATTCCAGAGTAAGGGTTGTGCTGTAAGCCACTACCTGAAGGCTGTCCTCTCCCTTGGCTCCCCACAGGTCCAAGCTGCTGTAGCAGCAGCCCACGCGGCCTTTCCTGCCTGGTCATCCAGGAGTCCACAGGAGCGTTCACAGGTGCTATACAGGCTGGCTGACTTGCTGGAACAATCGCTGGAGGAGTTTGCCCAGGCGGAATCCAAAGACCAAGGTGAAGGCAACATACTCACCTGAAGAATGGATCCCACTGTGGTTGGGGTTTCCACAGCTTTCTCTCAAGTAGAGCTTTGAACTGAGAGCATCTGAGTGATGTGTGATCTCAAGGCTTGATGGGAAGAATTGACTTGGATGGTGGTGATCTATGTCCACATCCCACTTGTCAGAGATGACTTAAAAATGTTGCATTGGTGCTAGAGATAGAGGTGGAAACATAAACATAAACAATGAGGTTTGCAACTGATGCACTTTAATCTCTCACTGATGGTCAAAGCTATTCATGCCGCCATACGCAAATTCAAGAGCAAGGGATGCACACTCTTACCCTTTCACGGAAATAACTGCAAAGATGTCTGGTAAAGGGCCTGGCTCACAGGGATATATGGAAATTAAGGAGAAATTTTCAAAGATGACATAAAAAGCAGTTTCAATTTAAAAATATGTAGAGGGCTAGAGAGAGTATAGCAGGTAGAGCTCTTGCTTTAAACACAGCTCACCCAGAATCCCCAGAATCCCACATGGTCCCCTTCCAGGAGTGATTTCTGAGCACAGAGCCAGAAGTGGGGGTGTGATGAGTGTGGCCCAAAACAAAAAACTAAACATATATAGACATAAAAGAAAAAAAGAAAAGAAAGAAATTTACTTAGAAATGTGTCCCATAGTTTAGAATGGAAACATCCCGAATTTGGTAGTGGGAAGGTGTAATGGTGGTGGGATTGTTGTTTGAATATTGAATGTAATCAAACATTGTGAAATAACTTATAAAATTAAAAAAAGTAATATGGAGTTCATGCCCAATTCAATCAGCTTAATCAATGGCTTAATAAATAGCAGTGCTCCTACATTATAAAATAAATGTCTTCCATAGGTACGTCACTATTTCAATCCCAACACAGCTTTCCAAGTATTAACTTTTTCCTACAGGTCAAGGCAATGGAGTAGATGCCTATGAATCTTTACAATAAATAATAATGATGAGGTTTGCAACTGATGCACTTTAATCTCTCGCTGATGGTCAAAGCTATTCATGCCGCCATACGCAAATTCAAGAGCAAGGAAAGTTATTTCTTTTCATGGAAATAACTGCAAAGGTGTCTGGTAAAGGGCCTGGCTCACAGGGATATAATAATAATAAATACATTAAGAAAGGCCAAGATCTCTCAAAATTATATGCATGCTACACACCAGCCTGACGGTAGGGGGCAACCTAATCTCAAAGCCTTTAAGATTACAGTGTTTCTTGCTGATGTTTCTGCTACTGTTTCACCTGTAAAGACAACTGTATACCAGTCCACAGAAGTCTGTTTCTCTCTGTGTTCAATCCAGGATGTAGGACAGTTTGGAACTTGCCACACAGAGGCTACCATTGGGTGTTCTGTCATGTGCTCATCTGAATGACTGCATCATGTATTAGAAGACCTTTAATACATACCATATGTTTATTATTAAGATGCTTTGTGTGTGTGGTGTGCAAATACAGTTGTCTTAACACCCATTTTCCCACCTCTTTGCGGCCTTTATGAAGTTTAGAGATTTTGAATTGAACAGGCTCGCGTGGGTGAAGTGGTAGCATCTGGTAAATTTATGATGGTTGCTATTAATTGTTCAATCCACAAAGCAAAGATTAATTGACTCATCTTCAGGCTCCCTTCCCACTTTATCTTGTAACCTCACACCTAATTATTTGATAGTTTTATCGGGTAACCGAGGCCACTTCAGTGTGAGTTGGAAATTGATAGAGAGTATCTCCGCCAAGTCCGGAGTGTAGCCCATTGACGATGACTTTCTGTTGTGGCTTCTTACAGGGAAAACCATCACCCTGGCAAGAACCATGGACATTCCGCGGTCTGTACAGAACTTCCGGTTCTTTGCCTCCTCTATCCTGCACCACACATCGGAGTGCACGCAGATGGACCACCTGGGCTGCATGCACTACACAGTGAGGGAGCCGGTGGGAATCGGTGGGTGCTGAATGGGGCAGAAAGATGCTTTCTTTCGTCTAGAACTGACCTAAAGGAACAGAAGAGGCAAAAGGGAAGAGCTGAATTCTATTTGGGCTGAAAATTAGTTGGTCTCCAAAATCTACTTCCAGTCTATTTTCTTTGTCAAATTCCCTACTCTTCTCCTAAGCACTGTTCTTGAGAAATCACAGAAAAGAATGATCTTGAGATTAAGCTTACATTCCAAGATTATTTTGCTTCTGATATGAGAAACAAAAGTTTATTTCCAGAGAGTGTTGTGCTTAAGGTAATGGGGTTTGGAGATCTGTTAGGTAAGTTATGTAACATTTGTGTGTTTGAGTAGTTTTACCAGCAAAACTGGTAAAATAGTTTAATTATATATATGTAGATACATATATGCATGTATGCAGGGGCCAGATATAGTACAGTGAGTAGGGCACTTGCCTTGTATGCAGACAACACTGGAACCCCGTATGTTCCCCAAATCTTCCAGGAGTGACCAGGACTAAGCCCTGAACACCACTGGTTTGGGCTCAAACAACAACAAAACTACACACACATATATATATATACATATATATATATATACACACACACACATATATATACATACATATATGTATTGCAGATAGGGCGTTTGCCTTGCATGTGGCCAACACGGCCGACCTGAGTTCGATTCCTCTGTCCCTCTTGGAGAGTCCGGCAAGCTACCGAGAGTATCTCGCCTGCACGGCAAAACCTGGCAAGCTACCAGTGACGTATTCGATATGCCGAACACAGTAACAAGTCTCACAATATTACTGAGCCCTCTCGAGCAAATCAATGAACAATGGGAGAACAGTGACAGTGACACACACACATACATGCATAAACACATGTATGTATCATATATTTTTGTGTGTTTTTTCGGGGGGTGGAGCATACCCTATGGAGCTCAGGGCTTACTTCTGGGTCCACCTTCAGGGATCACTCCTGGCAATACTCTGAGTACTGTACGGCTGTGTGCTAGGGATAGAAACTGGGTTGGCAGCATGCAAGCCAAGAGCCTTAATTCTGTACTATCTTTTCAGCTCCACATGTTTATTATATTATATTCTTTTATTGGTTTTTCTTTCTGCCTCATAGCACTGTAGCACTGTCCTCCGGTGTTCATCGATTTTGCTCGAGCAGGAACCAGTAACGTCTCCATTGTGAGACTTCTTGTTACTGTTTTTGGCATATTGAATACGCCACAGGGAGCTTGCCAGGCTTTGCCATGTGGGAAGAATACTCTCGGTAGCTTGCCAGACTCTCTGAGAGGGATGGAGAAATCGAACCCAGGTCAGCTGCATGCAAGGCAAACACCTTACCCTCTGTATCACTCCTGCCTCATAAACAGCACACAAATTTCTGCAAAAATTCAAATACCCACAAGATGGCACTCTTTCTCTGAGAAAATAATAACTTACTTGGTACAGTTAATGATGCCGCGAAAGAATATATATTTAGAGAAAAAATATGAGACATCTTGTCACTTTAACTATTTGAACTCATTAGCAATCATGCTCTGTGAGTTATGAAAAGTTCAAACTGCCACTTAGGAATTATGTTAAGACATTATGCTGCAAAAATATTGTTACCCCCTAAACTACCCAGTTTTCACTGGAAAACTTAGAAATATAAAGTATCTGTTTACATTTACAGAATGGGGGCAGAGTAGAAAACTTGAACCTATTTGGTTACTATTTCTTACACACCAGATGGTTCTATTTGTGGCTGTCCTGTTTTATGGCTGTCCAGAAGATTTCAGAATATAACATGAAAAAACCCGCTAGATGTTGATTCTGTTACATATCCAGCAAAACTATTTTCCCAGGAAATATAGAGGGAGCAAGAGAGAATGTTTCATTAAGAACAGTCAAATGACTAGTAAAATGACATCCACTATCTATGCAGCAGAGTTTATTTGTTTTATTAATAACCCCCACCCCAGTCCACATGGGGGAGATTTAAAACACATTTTTCTCATAATACAAAAAATTCTCAAAATTTTGCCATTTTATATCTCAAACAACAAAATATTAGAAACAGAGATGGAGAACCCTGTATTATCTCTCTGGATGGGACCAGAGAGATAATACAGCAGGTAGGCATTTGTTTGCACACAGACAGCTTGGGTTTGATTCCTGTCCCTGGGTCCCTGGGACCTGCCAAGAGAGATCCCTGAGCACAGAAACAGGAGTAAGCCTTGAGTACTACAGGGTATGGAAAGAAAAAAGGAAAGAATGAGAGAGGGAAAGAGAGAAAGAGAGAGAAGAAAGGAATGAAGGAAGAAGGGGGAAGGAAGGAAGGAAGGAAGGAAGGAAGGGAAGGAAGGAAAGAAGGAAGGAAGGAGGGAACAAAGGAAAGAGAGAAAAAATAAGCAAGCAAGAAAGATTGCATAATTTTACCTTTTCTTAGGAAGCAGAAAGAAAGGAGGAAGGAAAGAAACAAAGTAGGTAGACAGCATAAGGAGGGAGAAGTTTTAAACATCATCTATTTACATTATTTTAAATTTTTAGGCATTGTGATTCACAATAGTGTTAATAGGGTTTCATGTGTACAACATTCCAACACTATACCCCCCCACCAGAATCCCCCTCCCGCACCCACCCTAACCTCCATTCCCCTCACCAGAGGCTGGTAAGCTCAGTTTGCAGAACAGTTTCATGTTCTGTTGCCTTTGGCCATTTGTGGCCATTTGTTATACCTTACTATGTTTCTCTCTCTCTTTTGTTTGGTCTTATATATGAAAGATTATTCTGTATCTATTCCTCTTTCTGATTGGCTTCATGCTGCATAATACTCTTCATATCCATCCACATAGAGGCAAATTTCATGATTTTACCTTTTCTTATAGCTGAGTAATATTCCATTGTGTATGTGAACCACTGTCTTTTTTTCTAGTCATTTCTTCTTGAACACTTAGTTTGTTCTAGACGTTAGCTTTTATGAACAATACTGCAATAATTATAGGAGTGTAAATGTATTTTGTTGTTGTTGTTTCACATTTTAAATGGCATAGGGATGCTTTCAACACATTTTGAATTGATTTCCCTGAAGTTGGCTACAAATAAGCTAAGTCTAGAGTTTTAGAAAAGCAAATTTGTTTCATGTGGCAGGAAAGGTTTCCATTTTAATCAAGCCCCATGGTCTGGCTGCTCTGAGGGCCAAGACTGGTTGGTGACATTTCTATTCTTTCATTCTCTTTCAGCGGGTCTGATCAGTCCTTGGAACCTGCCGCTCTACTTGCTGACCTGGAAGATTGCTCCAGCAATTGCTGCAGGCAATACTGTCATTGCCAAGCCCAGTGAGATGACTTCAGTGACCGCGTGGATGATGTGCAAGCTCCTCGATGAAGCAGGTCATTCTTTGCGGACCAAGATTTCAAGGAAATATAGGATTATTGTAGGGAGGGGGGAGTAGGTTTCAACCACCTAAAACCATTGACAGTTGAAGTCCTTTGGGATAGAAATCTGCTCAGCCCTGAAAGTGGTTCCAGTGGCACCTTTGCTTTTTGACCTCTTGCTACTTTTGTTGCTGTTACCTCATTCTACTTGCTGTTGCCAGAAGAATCAGCCTCCATGGCATCCTTCTGTAGGGACACAGTCTCTCTTCTCATGCAGGCAAAGAGGGCACAATGGGAGGCCACCCACACATACAAGAGTCTCAAATCAGAAACCAATCTGCTCCAGGGAATGTCTTAAATAATAAGTTGGTTTGGGGCTTTAAAATTTTAAATTTATAAATAATTTCAAATTTATAGGCAATCTAGACCATATAAATGGCTCACTTATGGTCTTTACCTAGAGATGCCTGGCAGCAGTAGAATCATCTAGAATCATCCTTCATACCCAGCTAGTCTGTTGCTTAAGTGTCCAATCAGGAACAGTTCTTCAGCCTTTGACTTTTCACAACTCTTGAAGAGTTTAGAATAGACCAATTTGAGATTGATGTTTCTTCCTGAGGCCCCAAATTTTAAACCAGAACTTCACAGGAGTTTGTTTTTTTTCTTATTCCATCCTTTCCGGAGGCAACTACTTGTCTACTCATCTCATTGACAATGGTGGCTTTGAACACTTATTTAGGATAGTTGGTGCCTTCTGGGTTTCTCTGCTACGAAGGTGTCTTTCTTTCCCTTTGTCACAATAGGTATATTTTGAAAGACACTTAGAGCTGCAAAATTTAATCATCACACATTTATTAACCAGTGTAGCATTCATTAGTAATCTTTTAAATAGGCAATTTGGATCTTATATTGAAACCAAAGCTAAATTTTGAAGAAAATAATAACATTTCTGTGCACATCTTTGATTTTTGTAGCCATAGAATACCCAATAAAACAGTCCATTTTCAAGAAATTTGTGTACCAATCCTCCAGTATTTCCTGTATTTTGGTTCTGTTGTAGGGTTTTGTGGCGACACCTGGTGGTCCTCAGGGCTTACACCAGAGTTTTGTGACTACCCTCAGAAACCACTCCTAGTTGGACTCAGGGGCCCATATTAGGGTAGCAGGGATTGATCCTAGTGGTTGTCTGACACTTTATCACTATTTTATCTCAAGACCCTGAATTTTTCCTGTATTTTGGAACCTGTACTTGGCGCTGGAATTATACCGCTCCATGTCCCCAGACTGCTAAGAGTGTAATGCCCATATTCAGTGGATATTCCTAGATGGTCAGGAGGACTCTGCCCCACAGTTGGAAGGAAACAAGTAGATAGCTGAGCTTGTAACCTATGACATAAACTCTTGTGTTTGGTTCCTCAGCTCACTTCTCCCCACAGCCTGGCAATAATGATGCATGAGTGGTTGGAGGCTGTCTTACTGTCTCTGTCAATCTGTGCTGTGCTTCTTCCTCCAAGCCCACAGAGAAGGTACTGCTGTCTCACCTATATTTACATAGATGGGTGCTTGGGAGGTACCCATCTTTCTATTGGTGCTTTCTCCCCCTTAAAGCAAAGACCTACATGTTGGCCTCCAGGAAAGTTGTGCCAATATCTTGCCCTAAGACTTTCATGTTAGCTTAAAACCGTGCTTGGCTGGGACAGTTTTGGGTCTCATGGACTAGTTGGGCACACTTCATTGGTATCCTACCAAAGCTAGGTCTGCAGGATGACATTTATGCCAGTAGTCCTCTGCAAGATGTATGATATGCATGTTCCTACTTCTCCCATGCTGGAAAGCATGTCACCCCTTTCTAACAATAGAGGTATGATTTATTTTTGTGTGTGTGGGGGGGGGGAGAGGGATGGATTGGACCATACCCTGCAGTATTTAATCCTGACTCTGTAATCAGAGATCATTCCTGGTAGTGCTCAGGGAACCATACACCATGCTGGGGTTCAAACTGGAGTTGACTGCGTGCAAGACAAGCTCCTTAACCCTGTATTATCTCTGGCTCTGAGAGGTCTCACTTTTAAATTCCATTCTGTGAAAAATTGAGCCCTTATTTAATTTAATGGGGGTGGAGCATACCCAGTGTACTCAGGATTTACTCCTGCATCTGTACTCAGAGATCATTTTAGGTGAGGTTTAGGGGACTGTTTGTGGTTTTATAGGATCTAACCCAGGTCAGTTTTATCCATTGTACTATTTATCCAGCAACAAATTGAGTCTGTAGAGTCTGCAGAAGTCCAAGGCATTTTTGTTCTGCCTGTTGGCTGGATCCATGAAGTGGGATGAGATTTGTGTCTATTATCTTCTTTGATTTTTACTGGTGGGGGTGGCGAGGAGGCAAGGGGGCATGTCAAGTGGTGGTGTGGGTACCACAGGGTCAGCTTCCTGAAACCACACTTGTAAAACCACGCATGCCTTAACCTATGATGATTTTTCTCTCCTAACCATGGTCTCCTTTAGAATCCTACCAGACCTGGTCTGCATGAAAAATTTGTGTTACCATCAATTTATGCAACCAGCGATCTTCTAGGATGGAGGCAGTTCTTACCTTCTAATTCCTGGCTTTGCTGGCTTTGCCAAACTCCTCCTCTGTGAAAACACTGATAGTTCAATGTTCAAATAACATCTATCTGAAGCATTCAGTTTCTACACTGGGATTTGGAGGTGTTTGGAATTGCATTGACAAAATCCTACTTTTGAGCACTCTCAAAGAATATTTTAGTGGTGCAAAGAGAAGAAAGATGAAACAGCCTGCTAGTACATCATGGATATTTAAATATCTAGTTCCTCTGGTTCTGAGCCACTTATACATACTTGAAATAAAATCATTTCAAAAGTACACAGTGTGTACAGTACCTTTTTGGGAGTCCCAGAATATTCATTTAGTAGGAAAAGTGGTGCAGGGGGTCTCACAGGTTAGCCCCCATTTGTGTGTTTGCTGACGCTGGGTTTCTGGCTCTTCCTATTAGTTTCTGTTCTGCTCTATTTAAGCTTAAAATTCTTCTTGTCACCCTGAATTGCAAGGGTTTGATTCCATTCATTGTTTGTTAGCCACTATTCTGAGTTTTACCAAATTGTTATTTGGAATTAAACTTCCTGCCTTTTCTTATAATAGGACCCTCTTAATGGTAGAGGGCAGGTTTCCCTAAGCAATTATCATTAGTGTTCTCATCATAACAAAATGGTATGGAGAAATAATATCTAGTAGATGGCTCTTAATGTTTTAACCTCGGAGCTTGAGGAAACATAATCAAAATGTTAATGCCTCTGTGTAGAAGGCAATTGAGCCTTCTGAAATGAGTTTATTTTCCTCCAGTGATAAATGTGCAATGATTTTGCTTCCCTCACTCCTTGCTCAAGTACTACTGTAAACACTACAGTGATTTTAATCCTTTATTTTTTATTGCCTTTAAGATTTATAAAGTCTAAGACTTTCACTTTGTCCTGCCCCCATGTGCGCCGCCCCCCCCCCCCCCGCGGGAAAATATACACATGCATGTGATGGAGATGAAGGGCCTCACCCAGGAAATAGTGGGGAACTTGTCCTTCTTTTATTCCTACCAACCTACAGTCTCTTATTTGTTTCAGCTCAGGGATTAGCTGTCATCACTGGTTCTAACACTGAATCTGTCCATCTCCTGTAGATCCTATGATCCAGAACCAGAATAAGGTTGCTTCACTCTGTATACACAATGAGTGTAGAGATGAGGTATCTGGAGTGGGGTGTAGGCCAGGTTCCACCAGGCACATCAGGACTGATTGACTTCCACTGAGGACTTGACTGATTTGGTACCTGAATTGTAACCTTGATGTGATGAGGGTAAATCTGTAGCTTTATGGAAAAATGTTCTGGATAATTACTGTATCACTGTTGTCCCATTGTTCGTCAATTTACTCAAGCGGGCATCAGTAACGTCTCTATTTGTCCCAGCCCTGAGATTTTAGCAGCCTTTCCTTACTCGTCTTCCCCAATGATTGGAGGCTCTTTCAGGGTCAGGGAATGAGACCTGTTACAGTTACTAGTTTTGGCATATCAAATACCCCACGGGGAGCTTGCCAGACTCTGCCCATGCAGGTGGGATACTCTTGGTAGCTTGCTGGACTCTCTAAGAGGCATATATATATATATATATATATATATATATATATATATGCTTTGGGGTGCCCCGAGTGAAAACAGCTTGGCACCGAGTCTGTTCTGGATAATAATGGATCATAGATGAAAATTGTTACATTTAAAGCATATTTTTAAAACTATGGCTTTATTTTTAATTTTATTTGTTTTTTGTCATTTTATTTTATTTTTTAAAGTTTTTTTTTAATTGAATCACCATGAGAAAAGTTACAAAGCTTTCGGGTTTCAGTCTTGGTCATACAATAATCAAACACCCATTCCTTCACCATTGCACATTTTCCACCACCAAAACCCCCAGTATACCCCCCCCACCATCCCCTTCCCGCCTGTATGGCAGATGATTTCTACTTTCTTCTCTCTCTACTTTGATTACATTCAATATTTTGACAAAAGACCCACCATTATTATTTGGAATTTTTCCACAACAATCAGAACTGCCGAAAAGACATCATTAGATAATTTGTTTTCTATCGCTGATTATGAAGAGCACATGTTGTTGCAGCCAAGCAATTTTGGAATTCTGCTATTTTAATAATTAAGTCTGGAGGAATTTCTGCCAAAAGTTCCTGGGTTCCGAGATTCATTTGTGTACCTCTGGGATCGTGTCTGTTAAGGAGCTCAAAAAGTAGCCGAAGGAGTCGTTTGTGGGTGGCAACTCGGGGTCTTGTTAGGGTGGGGGAGAAGGGCCGGTTCCATCCCCATCCTGTGAGGCCCTGTGTGTCTCGTCACTGCTGGCCCATACCTGACTGTCCAATAGGCTCTGGAAGGTGCCAGGGGGAATAGGCAGAAGGGACGACACCTTTCCCACCAGGGTGGCCGATGCTGGTAGCTTAATACAAAGTCCAGATGCATTTCTGCCAAAAGCCGCTGGGTTCCGAGATTCATTTGTGTGCCTCTGGGATCATGGCAGTTAAGGAGCTCAAAATGTAGCCAGAAGAGCCATATGTGGGCAGCAACTTCTTAAAGCTATGGCTTTAAACCATGTGAATATGCTCTATTGAGGAGACATTTTTAACGTGGAGTAAGAGAAAGACCTGGGTGGAAGGACGAGAACAGTGCAGTCTCTGCCCCCGCGCCTGGGTGTTCCTTCCCGGAGTCCCTTGGAGGGGAGCGGGTTGAGCTTTCCTCCCCGCCCCGGCCAGGGCTACAGCAGCCAGAGACCTCCAGGACCAGCCACCACCATGCTGAGAACACTCTCCGCACACCTGAAGGTACTGGCAGAGGGACAAAGCCACGCGGGTTCCGGGGCCGAGACCTCCAAGCCTACTCGAATTGGAGTCGAGCATCTTCCACCCAAATCCTCCAAATTCCAGTAGGCGGGGGTAACACCCACCACCTGGCCCCCTGGCGCCGTGTAATCCCATCAGCGGCCAAGACTCAGAGACTTTAAAATCCAGAACCCGGAACCGCGCGGCCGCATTCGCGGCCGCGCGACATCTTAACAGAACTTTTTTTTTTTTATGACATCTTATTGTCTTATTCCTACTTTGGACAAACTTGCAGGCTATTGAATGTAGCCTGCCCACAGGGCAGAGTCTGGCAAACTCCCCGTGGCGTACCAAATATGCCAAATACCAGTAACAATTATGGGTCTCATTCTCTTAAATAGCCTTGAATATAATCTCAGGGCAAGGATGAAAGAGACGTTACTGGGGCCTGCTCGAGGCAATCGACGAATAACAGGATGATGAAATGAAATGAAATGAAAAATGAAGAGAAAGACACTAGGAGGACGGAAATAGTTCAGAAACCTTATACAGTAGAGAATTTCTTCATCTGCTGTCAGTTAACCATAAAGAAATAGAGAATATTGAATTATATTCAGGCAAATCCTAAGAGCTTCAGGAAACAATAATTATATCTGATTTAAACAATGTACACTATGTATTCAATCATTCATTTAACAATTTCCTTTGGGTTTGGGAGGGCCATACCCGACTGCTCAGGGCTTATGTCTGGTTCTGTGCTCAGGATTCACTCCTGGTGCAACTCCTGGGACTATATATGGTGCCAGGGATCAAACTTGGGTTGGCTGCATGCAAGACAACACTTTATCCGCTAAACCATAGCTATGGTTTCATTTAACCATTGTTTATCTCCTGTAATCAAGTTTTTTGGTTGTTGTTTAACCTCATTTTGTTTCAATTTTCACATTAGTGAAGTGAGGAAAATAGTACTACCTAACTCTTACAGTTGCTGGAATAAATAGCACAGCGGTAGGGCGTTCGCCTTACAAGCGGCCAACATGGCCGACCCGAGTTCGATTCCTCCGCCCCTCTCGGAGAGCCCGACAAGCTACCAAGAGTATTCGATATGCCAAACACAGTAACAACAAAGTCTCCAATGGAGACGTTACTGGGCCCGCTCGAGCAAATCGACGATCAACGGGAGGGCCTTTACCTTTACCTATATAACTCATTTATAGTAATGACTAGCGCCTAATTAATTCATCAAATACTACATTAATATTGTATAGCAAACTAAATCATGGGCCAGGGGATACTTTGCAGAGAGGAAAAAGTCAAAGTCTTTTTCTGTCTTTACTTAGTGTGTCACCTTCTAGTAGTGGATGGGTAATCAATAGAGTAAGTCCATAAATATATAAATAAATACAAACAGATATATGGTGGTAGGCTCTCTTTATAGAAAAGATAGAAGAACTTATGTGGGGAGAGTTCTCATGCCTCATCAATCGTAAGAATCATATAATGATGTGTCCATATAATGGGGCATAGCTACCTTTCTCTGGAGAAGCTTTCCCTTTCCCCAGGTTAAGATAGACCTTTCTCTGGATTTTGCAACCTTTGCCTCTCCCATATTTCACATTTTCTCACTGAATTCACTGTATCACTGTATAGCAATCATCGCATTGATCTTTAATTTTTTCAAGCAGGCGCCAGTAACATCTCTATTCCTCCCAGCTTTGAGGATTTAGCAGCCTCTTCTTGTCTTTTCCCAATGATTGGAGGCTCTTTCAGGGTCAGAGGAATGAGATCTATTGTCGTTACTGTATTTGGCATATCGAATATGCCATGGGGAGCTTGCCAGGCTCTGCCCGTGTGGGCGGGATTGTAGCTTGCCGGGCTCTCCAGAGGCATAAATGGGTAGAAAGGGTCTTATAATGTGTCCAGAAAGCAGCCTGGAGCATGGTGGTGGTTGGGCAGTGGAGGTCGGCTGCTGGGGCTGGGTCCCTTGGTGTGGGGAGGGCTCTCACCCACCCCACAGCCTGGAGTCCCTCACTGAATTATGACTCTGAAATTCTTACTTGGCCAATATTTTCCTCCTCACTGGGTTTAGTCTACCTGAGGATAACTAGGCATATTCAGCTACCAAAGCAATTTTATGGAAAGACTTTTCTGTAATGTTTCACTGAACATTTTCCAAGGTCACAGCATATGCATAAATCCCACCTATTGTCTAAAACCAATAAAGGTGGTGCTGTTATCTTTGTTATGCGTAGCTAGTGAAGTTTACTACTATCTTGTTCAAAGAGAATCTTCATGTAACCTGATGTTTTCAAGCTGTTGAGAAGAGTCGCTGTTACTGGTTTTGTTTCCCACTCAGGTGTTCCTCCAGGAGTGATAAATATTGTGTTTGGAACTGGGCCTAAAGTAGGTGAGGCCCTGGTATCCCACCCAGAGGTGCCCCTCATCTCCTTCACTGGGAGCCAGCCCACAGCTGAGCGGATTACACTGCTGAGTGCTCCTCACTGCAAGAAGCTCTCCTTGGAGTTAGGGGGCAAGAATCCTGCCATCATATTTGAGGATGCCAACCTGGAGGAGTGTGTTCCAACCACTGTCAGGTCCAGTTTTGCAAATCAGGTATGTCCTGTTTTTTTCTCTACTGTGTGACCCTGTCTGGATGTCAAATACAGTGCACAGCCAGGTTGGAGCAGGTCAGCAGCTTACAGAACCCTGCCTTCATCTCTGAGGAGGCCAATCAGAAGGAGAGTGGTCCAGCAGAAATCAGGCCCAGTTTTGCCAACCAGATGTATCCTCTGTTTCTCCCCCCTCTGTTATGTGGCCCTGGATAACTGAGTCTGTTCCATCACAGTGCATGGTCAAGTGTCAGAAGGTCAGCGACCCACACCTCAGTGCCATTTTAGTGAAGGAGAATCACTACACTGCTTGTGTTGATCCATTGCCTGTTTGGCCTCAATAGTCATATGCAGAGCCACAGCACTATTTAGGAGGCTCCTCTCTTTGAGATGGACATTTTTATCAGGCCACCATCCATAGGCTAAATGATGGCTTTTTCTGCTTCCTGTTTCTCCATTGCTTTATTCATCTACCTGCCTCCCAGTCTATTTTTACTGTTTAAATTTCCCACAACCCTGTTTCTCCACCAGAAATCATCTGTAATGCATTTATAAATTTTTTAATAAAAACCTAAGCAGTCTGGAGCAGATATCTTTTTTTTAATTTATTTACTGAATCACCGTGAGAAAAGTTACAAAGTTTTCAGGTTTAAGTCTCAGTCATACAATGATCAAAAACCCCTCCCCTCACCAGTAATTACTTTTCATCACCAAGAACCCCAATATAGCTTCCCTCATCCCTCCTTATGCCTGTGAGGCAGATGATTTTTACTTAACTCTCTACTTTGATTTCATTCATTATTTCGACAAAAGATGCACCATTATTGTTTGGAATTTCCCCCCAACAATTAGAACTGCTGAAGAGGCATTGTGAAGTAATTTGTTTTCCATTAGTGGTTATGAAAATCATATGATGTCACGTGGCCGCAAAAGCAGCCACATGATTTTGGACTTCTGATATTTTACTAATTAAGTCTAGAGGGATTTCTGCCAAGAGCCGGATAATTACAAGATTGGTTTCTGTGTGTCTGGTGCCATGGCTGTGCTGGAGAGCCCCTCGTGGGGGGCAACTCCTGGCCTCAGTTGGGCGTGAAGGACGAGCCGGTTCCACTGGAGCAGATTTCTTACTGTGGAGTTATGGATGTAATTTCAGGCAGCTTTATAGCTCCTAAAATTATGTGACAATTTTCTGAAGTCCATAGTTTTTATCGTAATCTTGAAGAACATGACATCCCAAGAGTTAAGAACCCTGGATCAGATTAGACTGTAACTTTCAAGAAGATGACAGCTGTTCCTGCTTCTGTGCAGCTTTTACTCATCAGTTCCAGGATAGTGGCCAGGATGGAGCAGTTTTCATAAGTACCAAATGGTATTACCCAAAGGTGGTGATTAAAAAAAATTAGTGAAGAAAACAAAAGACTTGAACTAAAGAAATAGATGGAAACAGGAGTGTAATGGATATATTTTTGTTTCCTAAATTGAATATATTACATATATCAGACACATATATTCCTCTAATTCCTTACATATTTACAGTAAAGTAGTAGAAGCAACAATAAATCTTTACAACAAGATTTGAGGGGGTCGTATGATGGACATTCCTTACAATGATTATTTTCACAATTATAATTGTCATTACTTTTCTCACTGTGATTTCTAGACAAGGTGGCCTAAACATATATAGAATTTTTGGATCAATATACAATGCAATTTTTGTTACTGCAGAAAATAATTAAACTAAGCATTTTGAGGACAAACTGTAACCTGAAAAGATAAGAGGAAGTTAGGTGAACTCTTTGTGTTAAATGAAATTAAGACATTAATTAATTGAATTAATGCATTTAATGATTCCTGAGCACAGGGATGAACTAGTGTGGGCTTCTGGGTTGCCAAAATTGTGCAAATGAGTTCACCCAAGAAGCCTGATTCTGTATTTTAAAATGTCAACGGGAAAGAAATACGATGAAAGAAGTTATTTATGTATGGATGTATTTTCTATAAACATAAACTGTTTTGACTTAACTAGAATGAGAACTATTTGTAGACTATTTCTGCTATTATTAGTAGATAATGAGAATTATGTTTCACTCAGAAACCTGTTAGAATCTCACCCTGGAACACTAGCTCTATTCGGTTATCTATGAGATATCTGGTACCCATGCAAAGCAGAACTTCCTTTCCTTTTTTACTGTCCCTGATGGATAACTGATCTCCCTGGATTCTCTTTCCTTGGAAAATCATCACTAATCACATTGAGGTTCAGGCCCAACTCTGTAATTCCTCCTTGTTTTTACCATCTCTACTTCTTATCTGACACTGATCCATCATCAGGTTCTGTTAGTTCTATGTGACATTGGATCTCCAGGGCTACAACTTCTCTAGAGCATCAGAGCCAACTTTCTTTCACTTAGGGTATACACATCCTTATTTTTTATGAATGTTTACCTCAGTGAACTCTTATCACTCCTACTATCTCTATTGTTGCTGCTCAAATCCAAGCTATCTCCACTTCTCTGAAATATTCCTGTCACTCCACTATTCTCACCTTTGTCCCTTCCACCCCAGTCTCCACACAGCTGCCAGAATTAGCATTTAAAATGTCGATCTAGTCATACAACTCCACTGCATAAAAATTTCCATGGACACTTCATGATATTGGAAATAAAATATACACTCCTTGTGGATCTCCAAGTTTCTGTGTAATAAGATCTTGCTTTGCTTCTCCCTCCCCCTGCCTCATCTCCTATCACATCTCAAACGAGTCTTTGTTCCCATTCTCACTCCAGCTCCAGCCACTTATGGTATTACTTTTCAAGCTCATTCACGTTAACCAAGTGTCAATTCAAATACCCCTTTTTACAAGTGCAGTCTTCCAGAACCCTAGTCAAATAGATGCCTCACCCAGAATGAACATTTTATACTTCTAATTTTTGGGGGTAATAGCATTGTTGTTAATCATTTTTTCTCATGATCTGGCATAAGATTATTTATTGAGCATGCTTGCGTATGAAGTAGTCTGTTTTCCAGACAAGTCTCTTTGTTCCACGTGTTGAGGGCATTGTTTACTACTGTCTGCATTGCTAGACCTGTGTAGAGGTACGGCAGAGCTCAGACATACAGATTGTCATCCAGATGTGTATTCTTTAGTCTTGTCTTTCTCTTCATGTGTTATTCTCACAGGGTGAAATTTGCCTCTGTACCAGCAGAATCTTTGTTCAGAAAAGCATCTATAGTGAATTTTTAAAGAAATTTCTGGACGCTACCAGAAAATGGAAAGTTGGCATTCCTTCTGATCCATCTGCCAATATGGGAGCCCTGATAAGTAAAGCTCATTTGGAGAAAGTAAGTAAATTTCTACAATGTAAGTTACAGAAAGAGCTCTTATTCGGTGAAGCTCAGTAGAAGATTATGCAAAGTTCCATGCATAACCATGTTTTGGAATACTGTTAATTACTACCCTAATTTGAAAAATTATCACCTCTGGGATGCAAAGTATAGAAGTCCTAGGGAGCACATATATGTATTCTAGTGAAATCACAGGTACATGGGTCCTCCCGTTGTTCATTGATTTGCTCTAGCGGGTCCAGTAACGTCTCCATTATGACACTTGTTACTGTGTTTGGCATATCGAATACACCATGGGTAGTTTGCCAGGCTTTGCCATGCGGGCGAGATACTCTCAGTAGCTTGCTGGGCTCTCCAAGAGGGGCAAGGAATCGAACCTGGGTTGGCTGGGACTGCCGCGTGCAAGGCAAATGCCCTACCGCTGTGCTATTGCTCCAGCCCCCAGATACATCACAAGAGTTAATTTGAGAAGTCAACATGGAGATAACACCAGTTAAGTGAGGAAGGTAAATTTCGAAACATTACTAATAAGTTCACTAACAAGAATTATGTCAACCAAATGGATTAAAAATTTTCATGGAAAAGTCTTTGTAGAAAAATTTTTCTATCTTAAGGTGGATGGGATCCTGAAATTGCTGGCATACATAGTCCAAATATGAAGTCCTTATTTATTAAGGTGACTAAAGACGGCTTTGGTGAGAGAAGTCATTGATGTAAGTTTGAAATTGAAGGTCATTTAACTGCTATACCTAGTGTGGCTTTCAAAGGAAGTCATTCAATTTTGGAGTGAGCAGAATCATATTTTCAGTCATGGTATCTAAATCCCACCAAGGAGTTATCCCAACATCTGGCATCATATTTTTGATGCTCACTGTTTTCCTGCTTTCCCAGTTGTAGGGGATGGGGGTCACTCTCTTTAGCCCACTCCCATTCTGAGCACCTCCAGAGACATCTCCTGTATATATCTCTGGTCTCAGATTTATGAACCAGGTCTGTAGGATGAACCAGTCACCCCTCTCTCCTTACCTCTGATGTGTAATCACTCTCACTTTCTTCTTATTCTGCTGCCACTTACCGACCTCCTTGTTTCCCCAAGAGAACAACCTGCCATTCCTTCTTTGTGACCATTTGTCTTGCTACTCACACTGCCTGGAATGCTTTCTTCAGATGTCCATAGGGCCACTGTGAGGGTTTTTTAGCTTACCTGAGATTATAGTACACCTCACAAAATGAAGAAAAATTGGCCCCTCAGAATTTCCTCTAACCCCTTGCTGATATATTTTCTCCATGATGATTAGTACTATCTGACATATGTGTGGTTTACTCCTTTAGTATCTTCCCATAAATAAAACAAAAAAGTCTATGGTTTCTTTTAGTTTCTACCACAACATTTGCCCCTGGAAACATTCTTGAAACAAAGGGCATTACATAACTGTTAGACAAATTATTGAATTAACACATCATGTGTTCCTGGTATAGTATAACCCTGAAACTTAGGATCCATTTTCCTTCAATTCAAGTATAAGTAAAGCATAATGGTTAGATAATAGCAACATAAAAGGAATCATAGAGCCATACATAGAAATTTAAAGGTTATTTTGAGTCTTTTATTTCTTTTATTGGTTATTTTAGCTTATGTGATGGGTAGCTTTAGTATTGAATTCTACTTCTTAAAAATCTTTGACTGAATATGAAATTCAGTATCTTATTATACAAATTAAACTTTTAAAACACTAGGAATTCAAATAAAGTATAATCAGATTATTTTTGAACTTCATGCCAGTGCAACATTTTTTGCAGTTTTACATTTACTGAAAGTGTTTGCATTTCTTTTTTTTTGTAAATGGTAGAGCTATCTTTATTTATTTATTTTTTTTCTTCTTATATTTATTTATTGAATCACTGTGGGAAAAGTTACAAAGCTTTCAGGTTTAAGTCTCGTCATACAATGATCAAACACCTTTCCCTTCACCAGTACTCATTTTTCACCACCAAAACCCCCAATATACCCGCCTCCCACCCCTCCCAATGCCTGTGAGGCAGATGATTTCTACTTAACTCTCTCTCTACTTTGATTACATTCATTATTTCTACAAAAGATGCACCATTATTGTTTAGAATTTCCCCCCAACAATCAGAACAGCTTAAAAGGTGTTGTGAAATAATTTGTTTTCTATATCTGGTTATGAGAATCATATAATGTCGTATGGCTGTGATAGTGGCTGCACAATTTTGGATTTCTGCAAAGAGCCAGATAATTACGAGATTGGTTTCTGTGCGTCTGGTGTTATGGCTGTGCTAGAGAGTTGCTCGTGGGGGGCAACTCGTGACCTCAGTAGTGTGTAAAGGACAAGCTGGTATGGTCCCCCTTCCCATAAGACTGCAGTTGCCCCGTCACCACCGGCTCATACCTGGCTTTCCAATAAGCTCTGAGGCGGCGGCCACCTTGCTGCTGGGGGGAAAAAAGGCAGAAGGGAGTAACACCCTTTCCCTCCTGTGGAGGCATGGCACCGTAGTTTAACGCATGGTCCATTCACTTTTCTGCCGCAAACTGCCGGGCTCTGGGCTAAGTCCTTTTGCCTCTGGAGCCATGGCCGTGCCAGAGAGTCACTTGTGGGGGACAACTCGTGACGTCAGTAGGGCGTGAAGGGTAAGCCAGTACATCCTCCTTCCCATGAGACTGCAGTTTCCCCATCACTGCTGGCTCATACCTGGCTTTCCAATAAGCTCTGAGGTGGGGGCCACCTTGTATGTGGTCCGGATGCATTTCTGCCAAAAGTTGCGGAGTTTCGAGATTTGTTTCTGAGTCTCCGGGATCATGGCTGTTATTCAGCTTGATCAGTAGCCAGAGAGGCTGTTTATAGGTGGCGACTCGGGGTCTCATTGGGATGGGGAAGAAAGGGCCTGTTCCACCCCCATCTGGTGAGGCCCTGCGTGTCTCATCACTGCAGGCCCAAACCTGACTGTCCAGTGGCCTCTGGAGAATGGTGGTCACTGGGCCGCCAGGGGGAACAGGTCAAGGCACAAAACCTATTCCCACCTGGAGTGGCCCAACGCCAGTAACCTACTGCAGGAAACGGACGCATTTCTGACAAAAGCTGCTGGGTTCCAAGATTGTTTCTGAGTCTCTGGTATCATGGCCATTAAGCAGTTCGATCAGGAACCAGAGAGGCCATGCCTCCAATTATATAGCTGAGCCAGAGGTGGTTTGTGGGTGTGTCTCCCACATACCTAACTTTTGGCCATTTACTTTCTTGGTAAACTTTGCCCCATGTTTTTAGGGTCTGGCTAAAGGCACAGCACCAATTTGGGGGTATCTGAAAGTCTGACAGTGCCATCAGGCTGCTGATTAACTCGCCTCACAAGTACAGATTGACCTGCTGGCAGCACCATAAACCCACGTTTTTGCATTTTAAAGAATCAATCTACAAGTTCCAGGGATATAGCTCAGCAGAAGAGCATTTTCCTTGCCTGTGAGACCCTGGGTGTTATCCCTGGAACACCACTTCCCCCAAACAGAATGACTATTAAAGTTTTAATTGTGAATAATAGTAAATTATGTATTATCTTTAATTTTATAGAATTTAAAATTATTAGAATTTAAAATTATTATTAAATATCACCATTTAAAAATTACACATCATAAGACAATTCCTACCCACTTTTCATAATTACCACACCATATTTGATGGAGTTCAGATGGTAGGCAACAAAAATATATATACATATATTTTGGGCATATAGGTAGAAAAAAAAATATATATATATATGCCTCTCAGAGAGCCCGGCAAGCTACCGAGAGTATCCCGCTCACATGGGCAGAGCCTGGCAAGTTCCCCATGGCGTATTCAATATGCCCAAACCAGTAACTATAACAGGTCTCATTCCTCTGACCCTGAAAGAGCCTCCAAATTGTTGGGAAAGACAAATAAGGAGAGGCTGCTAAAATCTCAGGGCTGGGCTGGGAGTAATAGAGACATTACTGGCACCTGCTCGAGTAAATCAATGAACAATGGGATAACAGTGCTACAGTGACAGTGAAATACAATAGGTTTTTACAATAGTTTTTTTTTGGGGGGGGGAATACTATATTCACATTACATTTAGATGTTCTTCAAATGTTTAAGCTTCTGGGGCCAGGGAGATTGTATAGTGGGCAGGGTACTTGATTTGTATGTGGCTGACCTGGGTTCAATCCTTGGCACTCAATATGGTCTCTCAAGCATGGCCAGGAGTGATGCCTGAGTGCAAAGTCAGGAGTAAGCCCTTAGCACCACCAAGCACTGAGTCTTTGAGAAATTCCATAGAGAAAACACGAGTCATCTTCTTCTTTGTTTGGTGGTTTGGGCAGCTAAGCCTGAGGTGGATCCCAGGGTCTTAAGTGCTGCAGTAAGAGAGTGTGTCGGGGTGAGACAAGCCTCTCGGTAAAGCTTGTATGCATTCCTCCAGTCCCTGCTCTCTTCCAGAGTAGGTAGGAGTAACATCCACCTCCAGATCTGGGAAACCCAGACTCAAGATTGCTTCTGCTGTTTCAGTTGCCCATGTGGGTTTTGTGAAGCAAAAATGTTCTCTTCCACTTATAGATACCATTTTCTCCCATCTTGGCTAGGGTCATGCCGAGCACCCAGGAAGCAGGGATCATTGGGTGTCTTGCTACGTGTCCTGCCTCAGGATTACTAGGGAATAGATTCTTGCATCAGTACTTTTTATGCTTTTTCAGTCTATTTTCAACCAGCAAAATTTTCTTGGCTTAATATTGATATCACTCCAACTAAAGGTAAAGGTAAAGGCCCTCCCGTTGATCGTCGATTTGCTCGAGCGGGCCCAGTAACGTCTCCATTGGAGACTTTGTTGTTACTGTGTTTGGCATATTGAATACTCTCAGTAGCTTGCCGGGTTCTCCGAGAGGGGCAGAGGAATAGAACTCGGGTCGGCCATGTTGGCCGCTTGTAAGGCGAATGCCCTACCCGCTGTGCTATCGCTTCTCGGCCTTTTGGCTAAGATCAAGTGTAGTGTAGTATCACTCCAACTAATGGGTAATATTTTACCCTGCCATCTTATCCTAAAATATGGGGAAATGGAGAAGGCTCTCTATTCTCATTGTTTCTAGAATTGCATCCACAGAAGCGGCGAACAAAAGCTAAGAGTCCTAATTGACCCAAATTAAATACAATATTTGATATTTTTATGTCTTGAGACACTGATGAGGTTTAGACATGACCTCAACTTTAACATCTATTTCAGAAATGCCATCTTCTGCCAAACCAAATTATGCTTTAAAAAATAGCATTTAAAAGGGAGGGGGTAAAAAAAAATCCCACAAATGTTAAAATAAAAACCAACAAAAACATCAAACTAGCACTTATTTATGTGATGCTTGTATATTTTTTCTCTTCAACTTAATATGCATAGGTATCATGGACACAGTGAAAATGTTAAAACATAGTTATCTATTGTTTCTGACTACATTCAAACATAAGGCCCAGCACACAATTATCCTTTAAGCCAAAGTTTTAAAGGTCTCATTTTACTATCATATGTTTTTTAAAAAAAATCACAGCCAAATACTAAAAAAAAAAAAAACTGTTCTGAAAGAACTTAGAATTTGGAGAGAATTTTTAAAGATAAGGCCAAGAATATCTATAACCACTGACTCCTTTTTGATGTTGTTAACCTGTTTCAATTCTATGGTACATTTCTTCATGCTAAGAACTCAACATTAGCACATTACAACTACATAAAATTCATATTTTTAAATCAATATTTTTTGCTTTTCTACTTGATCCTTAAAGAAAGCAATTCTCAATCATGTTCCTTATTTAAATAGCAAAGTAATTTGTGTTTGAGAAAATTCCAAGAATGAACTTCTAAGGAGAAAGACATGGGCACACAGTGAAAAATAGCTTTTACAGTTAATAACTTAAAAATCACTTTGATTCTATGATAAACATGGTCAAGTATTTATTCCTTTTATAATCTGTCAGGAAAGAACAATGGTGGTATTTTCATTATTCTACCACATACAGAACTTAGCACGTTTGAGAGTATCCCTTGCGTTGTGGCTCTGTGTGGCTATATCCAATCTCTCCTACCTACAGCGAAATTCCAGATGACTCTCATACTCCCTTTTCCCAGGTGAAGGTACTGAGCATCCTGTGATGGTTCAGAGGGTGTCTGGACCTACCATCTTCCAATTTTTACCCAAAGACCATGTGTCCAGATGCAAGAGTCACAACTTCTTCCTCTGAGCTGCCCTCCATGTGGAATCCTGATGGGCCTCTCAGCTCATTTCTTGTGAGGAAACCTCATTGCTGCCTATTTTATTTGAGAGGAAGCTAATGGAAGCAGCTGGGAATTACAAACTTGGCCTTTTCAGAATCTGACTTTTGTAGTTCCATGTGCCAGACCATCTGGGATCAAGCAGGCAGTGGGCATGCTCAACTGACTGTCATTCCCCTGGCCTTTCTCCTAACGACACTGGGGGCCCGGTGCCCAGGGAGCCTGGCTACATCGTCTGCCCTTCTCCTGCACTAAGGCTATGTCTTTTCTTTCTTTCTTTCTTTCTTTCTTTCTTTCTTTCTTTCTTTCTTTCTTTCTTCCTTCCTTCCTTCCTTCCTTCCTTCCTTCCTTCTTTCCTTCTTTTCTTTCTTTTTTTTTAAATGCAGGAGCACTGCTATTTATTCAACCATTGATTAAGTTGGTTGAATTGAGCATGAACTCCACATTTTTAAAAAATTTTTTAATTTTATGGGCTGGAGTGATAGCACAGTGGGTAGGGCGTTTGCCTTGCAAGCGGCCAACATGGCTGACCTGAGTTCAATTAGTCTGCATGGCAAAGCCTGGCAAGCTACCCGTGACGTATTCAATATGCCAAACACAGTAACAACAACGTCTCCAATGGAGACGTTACTGGGCCCGCTCGAGCAGATCAATGAACAACGGGAGGACAGTGACAGTGACAGTTTTAATTTTATAAGTTAGTTCACAATGTTTGATTCCATTCAATATTCAAACACCAGTTCCACCACCATTACACCTTCCCACCACCAAATTCTGGATGTTTCCATCCCACACCCCAATCCCTGTTCCAAAAAACAACCGAAATAATATATTTTGTATTTTTTTTATGAACAACTGCTGAGCATGCTTACAAAAAAGTGTTCATATAGGAAAAAGAGTGAAGATTGTTCTATTTTAGCAGGAGCCATTAAGACATTCTACAGAATATCAGTAACATGTTGTTAAGGTTTGGGTGATGTGAGCTTTGGTATACATGTATGAAAATATATATATGTGTGTGTGTATATATATATATATATATATGTTTCTCTCTACGATTTATTGCCTACTACCTGAATGCCATCAAATGTGGTGTGGTAATTATAGAGAACGGGTAGCAAGTGTCTTATGATGTGTCCAGGTATATATTTATACTCGTATGTGAGGCTTGGCCCGAGTGCGTGGGGAGAGGCCTTGAGCGTGGCTGCAGTTGTCTTGCGGAGGTTTTAGGCTGCCAGAGGTGGGTCCCTTGGGGTGGGAAGGGCTCTCTCCCACATCCCTCTGGAGAGCCCCTTGTGAAACAGCCTGGTGCTGAGTCTGGTGGCATGATTATGGGGGTCTCATGTTATGCTCCCTTTCGGGAGAAGCAGCCATGTGATCTGGACGGTGGCAGGTGACCTATGTCAATTCTTAAGCCACACGTGAAGATATCTTTCTACATCCACATATGCTTTTTCTAGAAAATAAATTCTGTTTGCTGTGAGTCATCTTCTCTAAGTCCACAACTAGAAAATGGTCCATTCTATTCGTGTTTTTCTAGCCTGGGATTTTTGATATTTTATTTAGATGTGATCATCTAAAGCCAGTTCTCCTTTCACAAGTTGATTCTCTGATCAAATTCCTAGTGCTACATCCAGCCTGGGCTCCAGAATCTTCTTCCTTGGCTTTCCCTGTTCATTTTGGCATCTCTTAATTAATGTGGGTGGGTTATTTCCAAAGGAGCTGAGGGTAGTTGAGAAGAAAATCCTAGACCTCTTGTAGTCTCTTCACAAAGTACACAGGGATTTTCTGGAGATGCTTTGACATCACAGCACGCATGAGAGAGGAAGGACGGTGTGGGAAGGAAGGACACTAAAGCTGTGTTCAGTGATTTATTTCTTGAAGTCTTTGACTTTGTGATCTGCGAAGCATTGTTCAAGTTCAATCAAAAATAATAATGAGGTGAAATAATCTTTTTCAAAGTCAGTTAACTAATAGAGTTCTACATTGAATGCTGTTGAACAATGGAGTACTGTTCTAACACTGGGGAAGACTGCTTAGACAGAGAAATAACAAATAAGATGGGATCCAAAGTATTATTTCAAAATTAACCCACCTTTATATTACTATTTTATTGTTGTTTTATACTCTTTATACTTTTTAATTGTTGAGATTACTGTTCTACTTTGCAGATGTTTAAAATTTTCCTCTAGGGAAGAATAATTTATTATTGTTACTTCAGTAACATTTCCACATACAAATATAGATTCCCCTATAAGTTATTTTTACAACCACTATTAATAAGTATATATCATTATCTCTGAGTCACTGGGTAAAATTATTGCATCCTTTAATCTCCCCTTACAGTTAGCTATATTACCTTGATATATTTTCAGAGTATATTCAGTAATGAGACTAGATATTAGAAATTATTTGTTGTGCATGCAATATAGCAGGCAGGGCACGTGTCTTTATGTGGCTGACCCAGATTCAATCTCCAGCACTATATATGGTCCCTGGGCACTGACAGGAATGGTCCTTGAACACAAAGTCAGGAGTAAGTACTGTGCATGCCAGGTGTCACCCCAAAATAAAAACAAAAAGGTAATAGGTCTCCTTAAAGGTAAGATTTTTGTTTGTGTACATGAGTAATAGTTTTATTTGTTATTTTTGGGATAGACCATTATTCTTTTGGAGGTTCAACCATGTCATCATCAAATAGAGGATAACAATACATAGCCAATAGAGTTCTGAGAGAATTAAAGTGAGAATTGTGAAAAGCATTTACCTGGAGTACCTTGCACTCAGTCATTAAATAAATTACTCCCCTCCTCCTATATATGAAGGTTGAATGGTCACGTAATGGTTAGAACACTTGTACCCTCAGGCTTTGCAGCTGATCAGATAATCACCCTCAGGTTTTTGAGCAATGACATTATTTTTCCTAGATGATTAAAAAATACTGGATTTTCTGTTGTTTTCCATGAGTTCAAGAGTATGATGTTACTAATTATTGTTTTTATCCACACAGGTCAGAGGCTACATCAAGAGAGCTCGTGCTGAAGGGGCCCAAATTCTGTGTGGGGAGGGAGTGGATAAGCTGAACCTGCCACCCATGAATCAGGCAGGCTACTTCATGCTTCCCACGGTGATAACAGACATTAAGGATGAATCCTGCTGCATGAAGGAAGAGATATTCGGCCCAGTGACATGTGTTGTCCCCTTTGATAGTGAAGAGGAAGTGATAAAAAGGGCCAACAATGTTAAATATGGATTGGCAGCTACAGTGTGGTCCGGCAACGTGGGGCGAGTTCATCGCGTGGCTAAGAAGTTGCAGTCAGGTTTAGTCTGGACCAACTGTTGGCTCATCAGGGAGCTGAACCTCCCTTTTGGGGGGATGAAGAGTTCTGGGGTAGGTAGAGAAGGAGCCAAAGATTCTTATGAATTCTTCACTGAAGTCAAAACCATCACGGTTAAACACTGACCTTGGCCGTCCTGGCTGTAGGGAGTCATTCATCCAGAGTGGTGAAGGCTCACATTAATCCTAGCCTTGTCAAGAATCAGGAGAAAGTTGTCTGCTGCTTATCTTAGTAGTTTTCATTTTTTGTCCACTGGCGAAGTTTCAATGTGGAAGCAGAGAAGAGAGAATTCTAAATAGGAATGTAGATGCCAAACAACAGTCAGACTTTCCCAATGTTATGTCTTCAAAATATCTAAAATATCTTTTAGTTTATGATCTTGGTTGAACTCTTGGGAATTCAAGAAAAATCAGATTGTCTTCATTTAAAAGTATGTCAAACATAAAAAAAATTAAAGTCAGAAAGAAACAAATCACATTTTCATGTATGGGGAGACTATCAAGATGATTTCCATATATACCAGTCAGGAGTTGGTCCAATAAATCAGTGATCAACAATTCCTGATTACGAAGGAGACAGTGAATATCAGTGGAATTTGTCAAAGAAGGTGTATATGGTAGGCCCCACTAGATGTAACAGTACAAAAAATGAGATTAAAATAACAGTATTTGGGGGGGGAAATAGAACATAAAAGGAAGTCAGTTGATCTATTCCTAGACAAAGTTTGTCAATTCTAATTCTTTTTTTGTTTGTTTGTTTTATTAGTGAAACACCAAGAGATACAGTTGTAGACTTACAAACTTTCGTGCTTGGGTTTCAGTTATACAATGATCGAGTACCCATCCCTCCACCAGTGCCCATTCTTCACCACCAATGATCCCAGTAGCCCACTCACCCTCTACCCCATCCCCCCACCCCAGCCTGCCTCTGTGGCAGGGAATTCCCTTTTGCTCACTTTATCCTTTAGTGTGTTGTAGTTTGCAATAGGGGTTTTGAGTGGCCATCGTGTTCGGTCTATAGTCTACTTTCAGCACGCATCTCACATCCTGAGCGAGTCCTCCAAATATCCTTTGCTATCAATTCCAACTCTTAATGTATTTATCACATGGAATGTACACTTTACCAATCCTAAAAGAATAAATGTCAAGTAATTTTAGTAACCACAGTGGCTTTTATTTTATGAAAATATCCTGTATTTTTATTCGCAGTTCTTTAGAAATATAGCATTTTTACAAAATAATGAAGATTTTATAATGATTTTTTTTTACCGAATTCCCCCATGGTCAAAGGAGAGTCTTAGGCTTACCAAGATTGAATAGTATGCTCAAGGTCACACATGAGATGTGGGACAAAAGGAGAGTTTGAATCTAGGACTCTCTGATTCCAAAGCTCATGATCACTTCTCCCTTTATACTGGTCTTGGATTGTGCTTCAGAAGCAGAAACGTGCTTACAGTTTCTGGAACATAACACATTGTGTCTTCACTCCATGTCTCTCCTCTGCTTTGACTCTCCCCACCTCTCTCCTTCCCAGATCACTCAGACATGTAACTCAGGAACTCTTACTGCTTGGTCCACCATTTCATTTCCACACTGAATGAAATGATCAATTTTCCTGTCTGACTAGACAGGAATTGGAAAAGACCAGCATGGACCTAAAATCTCTACTCTTTGCAAAATATCTTCATACAGAAAAGGTCAAAAGGAGTTCCTGAAACGGGACCATCTTTCACTGATGCTCTGAGATATTTCCTTGTATGATGTATGGGGTATTGCATCGTAAGGACAGAGCAATTCTCTATAATTTGTGTCTGACACCTGAATATGTTGGCTTGTTCACACCAGGACTGAAAAGTCTAAGTCCCTTTGTAATCAGGTTATGTTGTTGCATCACACCTGACTCCTAGCTTCGTCCTCTCTCATTTCTCCTCTTCCTTTCCCAAGCTGTCTCCTGCTCACTGTAATCTAGGATTAATTTGGGTGTCCACTGGAAGAATTCTAGCAGCTTCAGTCACTAAAGAATGTGCGTCTTCGTTCTTATAATTGGTGTAACCCAAGATTGTCCTTAATTATTGTTATTTTTGGTATGACACCAGGGAGCAAGCCCAGAGCCTCAGAAGTACATAGCATGCAGAACTCCACCAAATACTCAATAACTTCTCTAGACTCAAACATCATTGAATCCAAGGTCCAATTATTGACCACTTAAAGGCCAATATTTGAGAGACAGCAATTGTTGCAATAAAAGTATTTATTTAAAAGTTAGCAATCTGTAAAGATGGTGGGGTTGTTCCCAAATGAAAACACTTTCAGGCTGGAGCTTGGGGGTTATTTCTAAAGAAGTGGTGGAGAGTAGATAGGTAAACACAGAAAAGGGTGGTAGACTGGTATGGGGGTTGGGTCTTGTCATGTTGCAGATTGCTGATTTCCACGGTTTGATGAAATCAGTGGGACATGCAGGCTTGATCTTTTTAAAACTTAAGATAATGGCACGGTACGTTTGGTTGTCTATGGATGTCATCAGGGATAACACATTTGTTCTTTTCCTTTGTGGTTGATTCTTAGCTTACATAGTTCATAGAAACATTTATTAATATTAGGGTAAATGAAGAAGCAAGTGGTGAGAAAAGATTGTAGAAGTCTGAGAATAACAAAATGGAGTTTCTAATGCCTTCTCATTTGCATAATATCACCCTTATTATTGAGATCTAAGGTGTATCTTGATCTCAAACTTTAGCAATTGAAACTTTTTTCTCCTTATGCCTGAATCCATATCCTCTTCATACTTATTTTCTGCGTAGAAGACAGTTCTCACTAGGACTTGGATTCAACTCTACTTTTGTTAAGTACTTGCCCTGACTCTAGGTGCTATATTATAGAACTGCATGTTTCTTGTTAACAGACATCCTGGGTGCCATTTTCCTGTCACTCAGTTTCTTTGGATTGCCCTCTTCTTGGGCTCATAAGGAAATCTTGTTAATTCTCTCAGGGCATAACCATATGTGTTTTCTCTTTGTCCCCACACTATACTACTTTTTCAAGGATTAAAACCACTAATGTATACTCTGTCATCTCTGAAGGCACACATCCACATCTCAGACTCTCTGCTTGCTCTGTTCCTCAGATGAAGTTATGTATTTGTGGTCAAAAACCAAATTAATAATCAAAAAATAAGTTGAAAAAATAAGTCAGATGTATAGAAGATCTAAAAGGGAAATATAAGAAGTTAAGGTGTAGAACAGATGCAAAAAGCTATTAACAAGTAAAGCCTAGGAGGTCACGAGTTGCCCCCCACGAGTGGCTCTCCAACACGGCCATGGCTCCAGAGGCAAAAGGACTTAATCCAGAGCTCGGCAGCCTGCGGCAGAAAAGTGAATGGACTATGCGTTAAACTACGGCACCATGCCTCCCCGGGAGGGAAAGGGTGTCGCTCCCTTCCACCTTCCCCCCCCTCCCCACCACACACACAGTAAGGTGGCCTCAGAGCTTATTGGAAAATCAGGTATGAGTCAGCGGTGACGGGGCAACTGCAGTCTCATGGGAAGGGGGGCAGTAACAGCTCTTCCTTCACGCCCAACCGAGATCACGAGTTGCCCCCCATGAGCAGCTCTCCAGCATGGCCATAACACCAGAAACCAATCTCGTATTTATGTGGCTATTGGAAGAAATCCCTCCAGACTTACCTAGTGAGATATCAGAAATCCAAAATCACACGGCCACTATCATGGCCACGCAACATCATATGGTTCTCATAACCAGCTATAGAAAACAAATTATTTCACAATGCCTTTTTAGCTGTTCTGATTGTTGGGGGGAAATTCTAAACAATAATGGTGCATCTTTTGTCAAAATAATGAATTTAATCAAAGTAGAGAGAGAGTTAAGTAGAAGTCATCTGCCTCACAGGCATTGGGAGGGGTGGGAGGGGGTATACTGGGGTTCTTGGTGGTGAAAAATAAAGTACTGGTGAAGGGAAAGGTGTTTGATCATTGTATGACCGAGACTTAATCTTGAAAGCTTTGTAACTTTTCCCACAGTGATTCAATAAATAAATATAACCAAAACAACAACAACAACAACAACAACAACAACAAAAACAGGTAAAGCCTAAAGGAGTTAACAAAGATGAATAAACAAATAATAAAGGGTAAATTTCCTAAACTGAAAAAGAGGTTATCAGGTTGAAAGTTCAGTTTGAGTCAGGAACAATTCTCTTGAAATGAAAAAATTGCTAATATAAAGCATGCAGAGACAATGACCAGGTTAACTATAAAAAATAAACAAACAAAACATAAAATCTTTCTATGGGAACCCCGGTAGAGGGAAAAGGACACTGGTCATGGGACTGGTGCTGGAACATAGTATATCTAAAGCCCGGCTATAAATAACTTTGTAAATCACAGTGCTTTAATAAATTAAAAATAATCAACACTGATGCAGAAGGACAGTGGTGCAAGACTTTAAATTTCTCGGGGGAAATTATTTTGAACCCACGTTTTGTGGCCTATTATTCAAGAATTAAGGCAAAATAAGAACTTAATGACTCAGAAAATTTCTCTTACCTACTCTTTCTGATATAAATCGGGGATATAATGCAGGAACAGAATAAATGAGCCAAAATAAAAATAGAAGAACTGCATAAGAAATGAAAAGAAAAGAAATTTCAAACTGTCAGGTTAAACAGGCATAAAAAGTTATTGATCCAAATTATAGCATAAGGTAGTAAATTAGAACAGGGGAGATAGGAGTTTGTGATTGAAAGACATAAGTGATATAAGTGATATAAGATCGAAGTGATATAAGATATAAGTGATATAAGATCGAAGTTCATCTTTGCTTCATTATAGGATGGATAATTTTGTTGTGACATAAAGTCATACTTCTTGGTGGGGGTCAGAGACACAATACAGTTGGCAGGGATTTGCCTTGATGCAGCTGAACTGGGTTCAATAACTAGCACCCTATGCAGTCTGCTGAGCCTCCTAGGAGTGATATCTGAACTCAGGGCGAAGAGTGGCCCTCCAAATGAATAAAATGCCATACTGCTTGGCATTAGAGATAGTATAAGGATTAAGTTGCTTGCCTTGCATGGGGCCAACCCTGGTTCTATCCCTGGCACCAATTTGGTCCCTCAAGTACCACAAGAAATAATCCCTGAAGACAAACCCAAGCCTAGCCCCAGAGTACAACAGGGTATGGCTCAAAGCCCTGCCCCTTAAATCATTTTTATCTTCATGGAATTTGTTTGTTATTTAATTATATAATTTTTCTGTCTTAATACTCTGTCTTTCACTATTTAATACTCTGTATTAAATAGTGAATATAAATATCACTATAAATATAAATATAAATATCACTACTTAATACTCTGTCTTTCACTATTAATACTCTGTCTTATTAATACTCTGTCTTATTAATACTACTTAATACTCTGTCTTTCACTATTTAATGTCAAGTTATGGAAAAATGTCAGCAATCAAACTAAAAATTACATAACAAAATGCAGAGTTTACAAGTTTGGGTAATGTTTATTGGTTGACCAGCTGGGAGAAGAAGATGGAGGCAGAAGCTGTGATCTGCAGACCTCATTTCCAGAAGAGAGAGTAAATTCATAATGTCAGAAATTGATGAATCATAGAAAAGGAATTTATGCACATTATGTAAAGCTATGCATGTATCATTGAAGATCTTAGAATGTTAATGTGATAAAGATTGCAAAGTGCAAAGCAGCTGGACCGAGAGGGCGGATAAGTGTACTAAATTTATTCAACTTTTATTTTGGGAAGACTTTAAAGTTGATATCATTTGAAGTTGATAATATTAGAAACACATATGGGTTAGTCCTTTGATATAGAAGATATAAAACAAAAACTATTAAAACATGTATACTTCTGGGAAATAGTAATAAGGATGACGGAGGCAGTATTTAGTATAATGACTAAACTTCTATTTGTACCATTGATTAAATACTTTGAATTTATTTTTTAGCACTTGAGAAGTCTTTTATAAATAATATATATTAAAAATTATCTTAGTGATATATTTTTCATGCATTCTTTGCCCCCTGTCTACCATTAGGAATAATTTGCCTGACTAAGATTTTCCATGGAAAATCTTGGATATTCCCCTAAGTCAGTGAGTTCAGACTTTGGAAGGAACACCCAAAGTCCATGATCTTTCTTTGATTTAGATAGCTTATTTTACAAGGATTTCTGGTAATAGAATGTATCAGAGCCCAGATCACTCCAGGATTTTCAGATGAAAGTTTGAGGGTTTTGTTTTAGGAACACAGTTTGTTCATGGGTGTGTAAAGCAAACTTCTTGAATTGTTGTCCATCTAATTATTCCTAGCATTTCATATTGTTATTCTCTACCGCTAGAGTCATTGGCAACACAGTAAGTGCTGACTCACCATAGAACCTGTGCAATTCACTGGCATCACTACCCCAAGGCTTCTGCCAAGCAAATGATAGACAACTCTTCTGGGAAGTGTCAGATTTCCGATTGTAGTTGGCCTCTCATCAAGCACTGGGAATTTGTCTAAACTTGTATGTTGGCCAAGAATATGCCATTTTTGGATTCTGATTACACTTTCCCATACCATACCTCCCCACATTCCTCATCATATTCCTTGTTCAGTCCTACCCCAGGGAGATAATGGTATACTTCAAAATATCTTATGATTGCTGTCCAGTGTGATTCAAAAGATTCCAACAAGACATTGAAAAATACTCCTTGGAAAATTGAAGACAAGAGGAATAATTGAATCATAATGTGGTAGAGTTGCCAGGAGTCTTGAGATCATCCTGGGTAACTCTCCTTCTCAATCTCAGAAGGACCATGGAGGCACAAAGAGGTAAGCTAGTCTACTTGCCAAAATCTACTTATCTCTATGTGGAGCTGGAGGTACAGAAATGTACAAGCATCCAAGAGGTAAGGTTTTCTAAGGACAATGAAAAATAACAGCAAATGTTGGTACTTTGGAGTTTCCACCCACAGAAAGTAAGCAGCTGGCCTCTATCTCTACAAAGAATAAGACATGGACAGAAAAGCTTCTTAATTGTAGTTTAAGTTTATATGTAAACAAGAAACATTTGGTCTTATGTTTCCAGCTCAGAAGTAATGAATGGAGGAAGAGAGTGGAAACCCATCATCTGAAGGATTCGAAGCATAAGTAATGTCAGGGGCGATTGAGTCACCGGGGGAGCAGTATTGATCTCATGTAATTTTGGGCCAACAGTTGCTGGTGAGCTCTACTGCACTAGGCACCGACTGGCTGTGTGAGAAGTTGCTCTGTGGCTACAGAGGGTCCTTCTCATGGAAGGACCTGTTGACTGGATCCTAGGATTGGTCCCTGGGAATTGAATGCATGGACATTATTGGCAGGAATGCACAGATTTTTCAGTTAGAGAAATCTCACTTTAGCTCAGCATCCTTGAGGAATTGAAACATGTGAGAATCATCAAGATAGGTAACAGATGTTACGGTCAGCATATTTATCTCCTCTGGGTGAATTTCAGATTACTTCTCTCAAATTTAAACTCCAGCAAAACACATGCTTTAAGAGTTTCTCTGCCTTCACTTTAGGGATCATGCGAGAAATTACTCCCCCACTTACTTGTAATAATAGGTCAGAAATCAGGCTGAGGGGTTATATATGCTTTGCCAGAATCCCTTGGCCCTGAGTCCAACTTTAATCTGCAGTTGGTCATTGGTTGTGAGGGGTCCTGTTCCCCGTGGAAGGTACAGGAAACATTTAGGAAGCTCTTGTTCGGGCGGAGATAACAGAACTCTTCTCCTTGCTCTTGTTCCTTCCTCTGATATCTGAGGGAAAGAGAGTGAGTTAAAAGTATTTGCAGAAAAATCCGTGGCACTCTTTCCTCAGGATGTATCTTGTGCATACTAATCTTGAGAAAGAATACCACCCTGAACCCTGAGATTAGGAATAATTAGACAAGAAAAAAAATTCCTTCTCTTGAATTCTTGTAAATGTCAAAAGTGATGAGTCCTGGAAAAAAAATGTTTCAGGTCAGACTTCTCATTCTCCCTGAACCTTTGCACCATATTGTTTCTGGAAAGACTATAGTGGAATGATAAAGAGTTGCTATTTTTGATTTTTGACTGTTCATTATTTTTCTCTATCATAACCAAAGTGGCAACAGATGCTGAAGTCTAAATAAATACTTTGATTACTTGGCACATTTCAATACTCACCCTCTCTTTCACCTCTCCCTCCCTTTAAAAAACTCCTTCGTTATCTTATTTTGAAAGACACACTTATTTTGAAAAAATAATTTGAGTCTAGGAAGCAGTAGATGGCATCAATATATTATTCTGATTGTCTAATTGAGAAAGTAATATTCAATTTTTAAGTTTTGAGGGACCATAGGGTGATCCAGTAGTGTTTTATCTTGATTTACATATTTTTGATCAGGCATAAACATCATTCTTATATTTCTCATGCAATGTTCTGAAAATGAGTCTCAGTACTCTTCCATTCTCCACAATATGTGAGCTCCTTAAAGTCAGAGAATATTGTTCAAAGATCCAAGGCAGAATTTCTTTTACTCCCAGATAAAAGAACCTAGACTCTAGATTGCCAGGCTCGCATGGCAGAGCCTGGCAAGCAACCCATGGCATCTTCGATATGCCAAAAACAGTAACAATAAAAGGTCTCATTTCCCTGACCCTGAAAGAGTCTCCAATCATTGGGAAAGACGAGTAAGGAGAAGTTGCTAAAATCTCAGGGCTGGGACGAATGGAGACATTACTGGCGCCCGCTTGAGTAAAGTGATAAACAACAGGATGACAATGATATAGTGATAGTGATACAGACTTTAGTACCTTTGACAGAATGAAGACAAAATCAAAATAAAAGTTTTCTGTACTGAATT